CCCCAAAACCCCAAAACCCCAAAACCCCAAAACCCCAGACATAATAATCATTATTTAAATTTATTTCAACACCATTATGGGAAATATCTGAGCATGCAATAGCTCTCAAGATAACTTTACTGAGTCCTTGAAGACTCAAAAAACTTGTAAGAACCTTACTAAAATGAGGTCTCTTCACTCAGAAATTTTAAGTATCTCCAGTAAAATCGGACGAAATTTAGCCATTTCAAGTGACTGTTAAATAAAGCTACATGAGGCATGTTTCGCATTCCTCATGCATGAAAATATTTTTGAAAAGGTCTTTTCCCAATTTAGAAGCCCTTAGGACCGATTTCGCCAATTTTCGCCTCTATGGGTCAATTCTCACTTTGTGAATGTGACATTAAGGGACGTTCACCAGCAATAGTCAAATCATCGAGTTTTGAGAATAATATTATTGGATAAATTTATATATAGTTTCACTAGCATTTTAGGATGTACATTACTGCTGAATGTGCGTCATCCAATTTTGTAACTCATTAATTGTATCCTAACTTAACCATAGATCTCCAGGCGCCTTCAAGCGTTATGGACAAGAGCTATGATCTCCAAGTTGACTTGTCCAAGGATCTCAGAACCCTCACGACTGAAGACTCTATTTGTGAAGAAGATGCTGATTTGGATGAGACTGGGCTTGACTTGTTAGACCTTCATCATGACCAGACTGAGGCTAGTCCAAGAGGAAACAATTCCAAGACTTTTCTGATGAACAGTTCATGAGGCAGCCCTGGGAGGTTCTATGATCACTCAATCGACCAAAATTGTAAGGTTTAGATTATAATGCTTTATAGGTAAACTGACAACTTTGAAGGCGAGAAAGAACTTCTATGTTGCACTTCTTAATATTGACAATCCTTGCTTGTCAAGAAATAAGCTTGTGCTGAAGTGTAAGGAGCTCCAAGAGAGGAATGCCCTCGAAAGAAGCCTTAAGAAAAACAAGACTCCCTTTGTCAATAGAAAGCAAGGTATCTGGAAAATCAAAGAGAGGGTGTTGCTTTAGCCATTCTTGGAAAAGTACCACCCTAAGACCTTATATAATTACTTATATCATTACGACATTTCAAACTCAAAATACAATAAAGGGGTTTTGGGGTTTTGGGGTTTTGGGGTTTTGGGG